TTAAATTTCTTTCTCAAATTAGTTTTCGAACCTCACATCATTATATGTAGATGGGTATAGGCTGCTCAACAGTTATCGTGTTTCTCGTTCACACACACACACATTCATATATATATATATACACACACACACACGTGTGTGTGTGTGTAAGTATACATACATACATACATATATATATATATATATATATATAAATATATTAAATTCTAATAAATTCTAACACACACACACACACACGCACACATATATATATATATATATATATATATATTAAATTCTAATAACGAATATGATGTCAATTAAATTTCTAATTCCGGTACGAATTCAGTCTATATTGGGTTTGAATAAGACTGACGTGGTTTCTGTTGGTTGAAATAGGTCTATTCCTTATATGAGGTAATTTTAGATTTCATTGTGGAATAATTATTCGCTTTGTAATAATAAATACATTGAGCTCTTTTTGTGGATCAGTTTTAATATCTTATATTACTAGGATCGTTTTATATTGATATTGTGCTTTGCGTGTATAATAATGTTGAATAATTAGTATATACTAAATAGTTTTGGGACTAACAACCGTATATATATGTATATGTATATATATATGAGTGTGTGTGTGTGTGTGTGCGTGTAAGCTCTCTTCAAAACTTATCCAGTTAGTTTTAACATCTCTAGAATCGGTTGCTCGGTCCTTATAAGTTGATCTGACTGCGCTATCGTGATTCGACACACTACACTGCCATTGGGATTCTTCAGTCGAAAGTCAAAAATCTTCAGTGAGTTTGCGTACTGTATAACGAGTGCATTCCAAATGATCGAAGAATTAGATCTGACTTTCCTGAATATATAAGCTACTCATTCCTTTGTCCTGTCAGGTTTAGTTAGCATAAAGATTCCTCCACTCGTTCACCTGAGGTTTATCGGCCCCTTCAGTTTCCAGTCTCATCTAGGATAACCACTTGAGTATTAGAGATTCCACTCGTTAAAAAGTCACTTACATTCTGTCATAGCTTTTCACACCAAACTGTATTGACTTCTCTTCTCTGGCGGTTACTCTCCCAACATAATATTCTAGTCTGACTTCGTTCAAAGCATTGCCCAACTGACACAATTAAGTGTACAATTTGCAGCTTATGTTTATTTATGAGAGATTTGTGTTCTTGGAGAAAAAAAAGATTTAATGGAGAAAAAAAAAAGGATGTCGAAAAGATGAATGAAGTGCAGATGGAGGAAAAAGAAAAATAAGAGAGAATGTGAAGGAAAATGATAAAGAAGAACAAGAAAGAAAAGACGACAAATGAAAAAGAATGACGAGAAGATGAAAAATAAGAAGGAAAATAAAATGGAAATCGAGAAGAAGAAAAATATTTATGATTGGTATGTCCCAATCCTCATAAATACATTGGACTCTAGTGTAAGGTGGGGGGGTAATATTCTGTCTAAGTAGTCTACCACCAGCAGTGGTTTACATACTTCACGCCGCTGGCGAGTATTGTATTTTGTTGATGTTATAAAGATTGCCATTTCATTTCCATCTCCGTTTTGGTTATTCCTCATTCACTAACCTTTTCTAGGTTACAATAATGATGTAGACAAAAAATTCGAAAACGAGAATGTAAAATTAATAATAATAATAATAATGTTTAGATTAGCCGTTTCCTTATAAGGAAACGGCTAATCTAATCATTATTATTTCATTAGCTGAAAACATGGCGTTACTCCAGGTTGAAATTCATAAAATATTTCTCTTAAGGCAATCTTTCATATAAATAGGTTCCTCAAGTCCACTGATTTCATTTTCCTCGTATTTATAGAGATTTCCTTCCTAACATTTTATTTAAAGTAGTACCGAACAACACCATCTTGATTATGCTATTATTTTTTCTTCGAGTGATATGTGCTATCCATTTTAGTTGATGCTGTTGTTAAAAACTTTCAAGTATTGCAGTTTCAGTTATAATAATAATAATAATAATAATAATAATAATAATAATAATACAATGCACGAAAACAAAACAATCAAAGCTAATCAGAGACCACAAAAATGTATCTTTGAAGATCTTCAAAAAACTTTAAAAGTACAAGAACCTTGAAATCGAAATCTCAAAAATATGGCACGTGATTGCATCAAAAACTCCATTTGGACTCGGGACCCTTGGATTCATTAGAAAAGGTACCCATCGATTTGTTGATCCCTGGTAGCGCAAGCCTTAAAGAATTACAAAAAATTGTACTCGGGTACAGTTCACACCTTACGAAAGATTTTATCTATGTGAAATATGCGTGATCTTATTTTTTTCAAAAAATGCTACCTGGAAAATATCATGATACACCAGAAATCAAAGGAAATAATAATAATAATAATAATAATAATAATAATAATAATAATAATAAAGAAAGCCAAGAACTCCCTAGATGTAACAGATACTCAAGACGAAAATATCCTGAACCTCCAACCGATGCAGCAAAGAAAATTAAAGAGAAAGCTGCTCATATGAAGACTGTTGAACAAAAATGGAGATCTAAAACCTTGTATGGAGAGTACCCGAAGCATTTGACTGAACAAGGCATCGATTTTCGCTAAACAATCGCTTAGAAGCAATGGTCTTAAGGGGTAGACAGAAGGCCTTATTATGGCAGTACAAGAACAATATCTCTCAACTAATTCCTACACAAAACTAAAATCAATAAAAATAGTTCGTATTTCGTCTGTCGCTTATGCGAAGGAAGCTGTTGAGTACTTAGTATCATGGTGTCCAGTCCTTATTGAATATATTATTAGGCATAATGGGCTAAGACAATATATTCATTGGCATTTCTGTTCGCACTGTTTCAAACACCACCCGAATGATATCACAAAGGGTGATGGAATGACTATAGTGTAGAATTTCCCATTCCAATCAGACAGCAATATTGATGTAAATAGACCGAACATAGTAATAAAAGATTTAAAAAAAAGAAACCTGCCAACTAATTGATATGACTTACCCACAGGATTCCAATGTTTCTACAAAAGAATTTAAAAACTGTCAAATTATAAGGACCTGCAAATCGAAGTAACAACAATGTGGAAACTTAAAACTACGATTATCACTGTTGTGATTGGGGTATTGCGTATGATAAAGAAGGATACCGAAAATCTTGTGAGTAAAATTCCTGGACATATCAAGCGTGTAAATTCCTCCTTGGAATGATTTGTAAATTTGTAAATTCCTCCTTGGAATGATTGTAACACATCTCTCAGATGCGTCTCTGTATTTGAGCAGAGTGTGTTCAGAGGCGGCTCTGTGAAAGGACTGAGTCGCAACTGAGGAAAAAATATACTGAGTGGTGCCGTCCCTGTGGAACAGCTACCCGAGGCCGTGCCTTTTCAAATGCACTAGAGAGAAGGATCGGTGCACGAACCGAGACCACAGTTGCGGGGGTTCGGGGAATTTTTGTTCCTTGCCTTGGTGTACGCACTCAGGCTCTCCACATTAAACCGACCATGTATCCCAATCTGACCTGGTGTGTGGTTGGGGGCGTGGGCACGGTTGAGTAAATGCAAATTCCTGGACACATCAGGATCTCAGATCTACAAACTATGACTTTGTAGGGAACTGCACATCATTTGTAAAAGTCTCTAAACGAAATGTCTCAAATGTACAAAGATAATATTTACCGATAGTATCATTTTTACAGATAATAATAATAATAATAATAATAATAATAATAATGTATGATCTGATTCTACACAAAGCCTGAATATTATTGAGTCTGGTCTTAACTGATTAGAATTGTTAACTATAGAACACTAAACATCAATTAAATTTACACCACTACTACCCATGGGTATATCATACCCGATTTTGAAAATATCAAAAAAAAAAAAAAAAATAAAATAAATAAAAAAAAAAAAAAAATAACATTAAATATAAATCTTTATTTGAAATATTTTACATGCAGGCACTTCAAACTTTGTACTTTAAGTTAACATTAATAGGAACTGAAAAACATATTATTTAGGTAAGAAAATCAGGTACTGAAAATTGCAATTAAAAATAGGAAAATTTGCGCTGGGTACTATATACCCATGGTTAGTATTCTAGGGTTAATATATTCATGATTTGTCTGGGTGAATTATTATGGGTTATAGTAAATATTATCACATATTTCTGTCTGAATTTCTGAAAGACTAACGACAACAAGTTTTCATCTGCAGTAGCAGAAGAAGTTGCAAATTAATCAGCAGCTAGGTTAGGTTTAAAGCTCCAAGTTCATTATAGCAGATTGTCCTACCGGTAAAAACGTTGGTTTGTGGATTTGACATCGTGGTTATGAATTCAATCTCTGAGTCGGCAGAGCGTACTTGCACTCACTGAACAATAATTCACATTACAAATAAAAATAAGAACTAGACGTTGGCAGTGAAATGAGAATCGTCTACCCGGGTAGATTAGATTAAAGGGTCCAGTTCAGAATTCCCTGCAGACTACGCAGATCTTTATACACCTGAGGAAAATCGGAAAACATAATAGCGGAAACGTTCCGATAACAACAATAAAGATGTCCGAATATAAATAGTACAAATTATCACTGTTAAAGAGTCGGTGTGGTGGAGGAACATCGAGAACGTGTCTGGTGATTTTTTTTAGGATGAAAGGATTAGGCATCCAAGTCGACTTTGGAGTTATATTTAGATACTTTGAGACACCTTCATCGGTGCCCCTGTCGAAGATCTTGAGGATTTTTGTAACACTATGTGTATATATGCTGCTTTTAACAAACGATTGCGTGCACTAGGCTCTGATGAGTGTGTCTATCATATTCTTCTCAGACTGTGCGTCATGATGGCTTTCCGATATTTATTCCCCGACGATGACGTTGTTGACGTGTTGCTATTTCTATCAATAAAAATAATAATAGGAAGAAGAACACGGGACACATGAGAAAATAGGGTAGAGGAGAGGGAGAAGAAGAGGAAGTAGATAAAAATGAAATGAAGAAGAAAAGTCGAAAAATTAAAAAGAATAAAAAAAGGGTATACATATGGAGAGAGAAAAATGTTCACATGTAAAAGAAGAAAATGAAATGATAAAGAGAGAAAGTAGATATGAAAAAAAGAAAAAAAGATGATGAAGGATAAAAAGAAAGAAATTCATTACAATAAAGAAGAAAGGTAATAAAAAGAAGATAATAAGAAAAGAAAAAGAAATAAAAAGGAAAAAAAAAGAGGGAGTCTATAAATAAAAGAAATATAAAAAAAGAAAAAGGTTGGATGATAAAAACGAAAGATATTTAAGAGTATAACAGAAGAAGAAGAAGAAGAAGAAGAAGAAGAAGAAGAAGAAACGATGGTAATAAGTAGTAAGAAAAAAGAAAAAATGAAGAAAAGAAAACAGGAAAAGAGGACAAAAAGAAGAAGACGGTTTAAAAAACCTTCTTTTCTTTGCCATTGAGCATTTCTCACAGATGGCTTAGAAGAATATTATATTTTGCCTGTTGTGGACTAAATGCTATGAACTGTCAGGTGCTATAATTACATCTCGTGTCTCACCTATGGAATACGAAAAAAAGAAGGCCGTTTCAATTCGAGGATGTCACCTGCTTGCTAAACGCGAAGGGGAATCCATTTACAAAACAATGTAACAAATTAAGTCGGAAATCCGGCAAAGAAATAAGTCTTTAGTGTCAGATACCAATTCTTTACGAATAGTGAATGCCAGAGAACTTTTATAGACAGACGTATTTAACAGATTTCATATCAAATCATATAAATATATAATAAATATCTAATTTTATCCCTGATATGTAAAAATCGATCTTGGTTGTGAAGTCTAGTTGCAATCCTGAAGATGTTCTTTATATCTATATGGATGCCGGGGAGGAGGCGGTGGCAGACATTTATTTCAGAAGCCGAAGAGTATGGCAAAAAATATCACTTAAAGAACTTTTCTGTCGTCACTAACTTTACTGACAAAAGAGCGACGCGACAGAACTCCATTTGTCTAGATGGATGGTCTCTAAAATAGATTCCGGTAGAGAACGATTGGAAAAGAAATACGATTTTTTAAATACTTCTTTTGACAGTGGATAAGAGCAGGCAAGAGAGTAGCACTAAAAAGGTTACTGAAAAGTCATGAAGGAGTCGCTGGATGTTTAATTCTCTGTAAATATGAAGCGGCTAACGACATTTGTTCCGTTCTTTTATTAGAATGCACTGTTGTTGACATTCTTGATTCCATGAGCTCGTTCACTTTGATAGGTTTATCTTTAAAAAAAATATTTCGAAGACGTAATTGCTACAACAGTCGATATGCGTCCGAATCTTCCATAAATTATTATCAAAGAACTACCTATAGAGATTTTACGAGCATAAGATCACACGAAAACTGTAGAGCGTAATTCTGTTTTACTTAGAAAATTCACGTGAATTATTACTAATTTCACTTCCCTTTTCAACTAACCAACACTTATTGACCTGAGCTTGCCTTGGAATCCTATTAAATAACATAAAACTGGTTACACATCTATAAAGTATAAGCTCATCACAGTGCATTTTTTTCATCTTCACTTATCTCAAACCGTTTCATCAACTGCGACTCGAAATACGGTGTAATCTTGTTTTGAAATATTGCGAGAATTCGCACTCATCACTTAAATGATTTTTATATCACCCCAGCCACAAACATATCATTGTATTTCCCCTTCAAATTCCATTGGCGAGAAAGATGTTCCACTTTGACAACTTCACCAATTTAGGGAAGGGACTCTCGAGAGGATGCTTCTCCGATCGGTACAAACTTAACCTATTCAAGTCCGTGGACAACATTTTTCTACGCTACATATCCTCATAACAAGAACTTAACATGCAAAAAAAAAACTCATTGAATGAGCCTCTAACTTGAGTTTCTCTTGGGCCGTGTATTGGGTGAAAACTTATATGACCATGAAATGTAAATATTCTTATAATTACAACAAATAAAATGTTGCTGTTATTAAAATACAATCTACTCATGAGAAAGATAATTGCATTTGTTGCTTGAACAACTGTGCTATACCAGAGAGTGATGGTATTAATTAAGATGTGAACAGTTAAAGAACGTGAAAAGAAAGAAAAAAAACAAGGTAAAGAGAAATTATATACAAAAAGCAAATGTGAATAGTATTGGAATCGAATTGAAAAAAGAAATACATGAAAAAGTAAGGAAATAAAATAATAAAAATAAAACAAAGGAAACATAAAAAAAGAAATAAAAGTTATAAGACTTGAGGGATTATTTCTTGTGTGCGCATGCGTGAGCACCAATGAACCAACGATAAGAAATAACAAAATATGACTGGGAAATGTAGAATTGAGTGCGGAATAGAAATGGCTGAATTCACCTCATGGAGTGATTATAGAAGTCATTCTAAAAAAATATTGCAAAGGTATTAGCAGCACACAATGAGGGGGCTTATTATAATAAAAATAGTTTTCGCAATGTACAGATCAGTAGAAGCTAAGAAAAAGACCAATGAACAGTTATTTAGCAGTTAGGTAGAAATCCATATCGATCGACAGACGGACCGATATTACAGATCGATGTATTGATTGATTGAAAGACGGTTGAGTGGACGTACATTGAACAATTTATTCCGTTTTATTTTAACATGAACCTTGGAATTAATTTAAGCTAAGTAGAAGCATCACTCATAAAATAATAGCAAAGCTATATTGTTAATACTTGAATATTATGGCTATATGAAAAACTAAACAATATTTAGTAGGCTTGATTTTTGTTAATGTTATATTCTTTCAGGATGTAGGTAATCACAACTCTCCACATTTTCCTTTTCTTTATTATCCGCGAATTGCCATGCGATCTAAGGAAAGAATGTGTAGCGTTTTTCTCTGTAGATTGCAATGAATAGATTTCCTTCTCTTAGTGGAGTTACCAGACAAGGCTAGACAGCCGAGTCTAGCCTACTGGAGGAGGAGAGAAGAACCAGATCCTTGCCATTCCCAAGGATTTTTCTGGAAAAATGAACACAAGAAATGAGTCCGGAATTCGAACTCGGCTTGGCGGGTTTATTTTCCGTGCCGATAACTGTTACACCAGCCACACATCACAATGGTTATATAGAGTAACGAAAACCACTGAGCCTGCCTTAAAGAAGTGATTATAGAGATGGTGTGGTAGCGTTAGATCATTAGACACCAATACCATTGGAATATCTCAGAATTAACTACGAAGGCCTATTAAACAATCCCGATCCAGTTTTTTTTATTGTAGCGGTAAAGAATGCTATTTTATATTATAAAGTGACAATTTACTAAATCCTTGCACTTAGGAAACCGTTTCAAATCAATGGTCCATAGCAACAAAGAAATTGAGGATTTTTCATAGAATTCATTTTCCTTATGGCGTAAAAAATGGCGTACCAGTTGTTCGTCATACTCAACTGCGAGAAGTTATATACTAACTCACAGTGTGAAAATTTTGAGATGTTAAATGCAATACAGTGTAAAGTGGGCTGGCTTTCATTGGCATAAATACTTGAAGTAGAAGATTATGGTAATAACCTAACCATGGCCGATTGACGAATCTCGGCTAAAAGAAATTCTCATACACTTGAGATAACCAAGGAATGCGATGTGTTTAGAGGCATTTAGCTATAAATTTTTACTATAAGTAATTTTTACGTATTATTTATCATCCCTCAAATGTGTCTCTGTCCTTGGACAGAGTGCGATCCGGGGCGACTCCTTCAAAGGACAGAGTCGCAGTTGAGAAAATTATAATGAAGAGGTGCCCAGCCCTGGGGAACAGCTGCCCGAGGCCGCGCCCTGTCATTGCACCAGAGGGAGGGATCGGTGCTCGCAACGAGGCCAGCGCAAACGACGGTTGTGGGGGCTCGGGGAATTTTTGTTTCTTGCCCGGGTGCACGCGCTAGGGCTCCCCACATTAAACCGACCTTGTTTCACAACCTGGCCTCCTGGGGGGGGGGGGGTCAAGTAAATACCGTGTTTAGAAGCATTTGGACACGCTGAAGCCGTCGGTTAAGCGAGTGAAAAATGTTTTAATACCAACTAAAAATTTTATTTACTGCAATTTGTTTTTGTAGCAAAGGGCTGGGCCAACATTTTTATGGAGAGTCTCATCATTGTCGGCTCTATGTCAAGTGTACTGCATCACTATAACACGACTTTCACAACGGCAATAAAAAAATCATGCATGCGCATGTTATTTGCATTTTTATCTGTTTATTAGTCTTTTTTGCGAATAAATAGCACAAATAAATGTAAAAATAGTTCAGTGTTTCACGCATTTATAAGTATGAAACAGAATTGTGCCGCATTTGTTTGTATATATTACAAAACAATAAATATTTATGATACAATTAATTCTTTTATAAATCTCGTGAGACGTTCATAAATGACGTCATATTTTAAAAATTTTCTGTTGGATCAACAGAGACATCTAGATTCTTACAAAACATCACTTTACATTGTTTAAGGATTTGACACTCACATCGTCACAGGACATAGCGATCCAGACACCTCTAGAAGTTTTGAATAAATTTTACTATATTGTACAACAGATGACCAATGAACTACATTTTATTTAAGGGAAATTTAAAATGAATGTTAATTGTTTACTTCCGGGGCTCATAAACTAATAACCTGGTCCGCATTTGGTTCACAGATGTAGTTTGCCCAATCTTGTTGAAGCATTTCGTCGATCTATTTTTCGATGATATCTGCTTATATTTTGGATACCAAACAAATTTGTGCATTGACAGAACTTGGGTTATCTACGACGGAAGAAATTCAAAAATTAAAAGTTGATATGAAAATAATGGCCATGGATTTTGTGGCTATTTTGATGACTATCTACAGAAGAGGTATGCAGAATAATTCCGAAGGTTATTATTTCTAAAAAACGACGCAAGAATTTTCGGGAAAGTTTTCCTGCTGAAAATTATATTTGTTTACAGGTTTGGCAAGTCGATTTTAAAACAATTTGAGGTTTGCATAAACCGTATATCCTAAGCAAAAGATATTTCTCAGTCACAGATTCCCATGTTTTCAACTATTTAACAATAGCAGTATTTCATTGTCTGAAAATTAGTTTTTATTTTTGGAACGGTTAAAGTAACTGGAGAAACGATGCGCCAAACACGTTAATCTTCGAGGAGATTATGTAGAATAACATGTAAATTTCCTCGTTCTAGATTATTCTCTTCATGATCAGCATCTACCTAGTTGACTTTGTAAATCTTTACTTTTTGACATCGTCAATCGTCAAGGAACTTAGCTTCACTTAAACAGAGTTAGAATTAAGTTTAATGACTGAATGATATTTAAATGTAGGTTACAATAGAAGGGGGAGAACAAATAAAGAGAGGGAGAGTGGGAGAAATAGTATGTGGTGAAGTACAAAGAGAGATGTGTAGGAAAATTGAGAGAGTAGAGATTGGAAAGAAAAATAGTGAAGAAAAGATGACAATTTGAATGGAAGATGGAATGCAAAAATAATGAGAGAAAAATAAAGAAACTTCACTGAGAAAAAGGAAATATTTTTGCTGGAGGACACATCGACGAAAACGTTGTGATAATAAAAGAAGGATGAGGACAGGGTTAGGGTTAGGTTTAGTCCGACTGTAAATCATGTAAATAATAATATTTCTTCATCCGAGAAATACAGCCTAAAAGGTAAACGTGTGAACCAACTCAAAAATCTACCCTAGCAACCTAAAGAACGATGACAAATATATTGGAATTGATGTGACAAAACAACAAAGATAATGTTACTAGGTTGAAAACTACGCAGAATAATAATAATTCGCATACACTGCAGACAATCTTCTGAAAGTCGTTTGAAATAATAATAGCAGCTTGAAATATCCAAAAAAAGAATCTGCAGTGCTATTTGTTCTGACCTGGAATGTCGGCTTCAATCAATTTCTCACCGCCATAACGTAGCTTCACTGTGTCTTTTCTATAAATATTTTAGTGGTAATTGTTCTGATGAAATTTTCTCTTTTGTACATCGACTTTACAAATTTAAGCGCAGTACTAGATTGACACTTAGGTCTCATCATTTTACAGATGAAAAGGCTAGATTTAACCCTAAGATTTATGCATGCATTTTGTTCTTTTGAACTTTACTCTTGTTGAACTTCTGGATTCTCTCTCTTTTATTGTTATCTCCCTTAATAATGTGCCTTTTACTCACAGTAGTCCCCTTGCGTCTTAGTGCCTTTATCCCCTTAGTTGAGGTTGAATGAGTAGAAGAAAAATTAATGAAATGATTTTAAGAAAGTCAGACAACGTTAGAAGGCCAAAAAAATTTATATGCAGCATTAGAATAAAAACTTCAACTATTAACTTAGAAAATTTCCGAAACGTTAGTGGGAGGTTAATGAAAGTCAAGAAGATTATGGACAGATATATATTAATTATTATTTTTACCAGAGAGTAACCGGGGGCTTAATTTTGATACTTAATATAATCTTTTGTAAAAACCCTTTTATTTTCTTCACTTGCAGAACATAAACTTCGAAGTTGACCACTTTCCTTGGAAAACTTTTACTATGACCTTTCCAGGTCATAGTAAAAGTTTTACAAGGTTTCAATTCCTAACACAACACATCTTTCATAGAACATTAGATAAAAACTAATCGATTTTTGACCCGAAATAGATTAGTTTTTCTCTTAATAACGTGGGATCTTCTGAATCTGTTGCGAATATGAATCAATTCAGTACAAATAAAAGGGCAATAAATCTTTTGAAATATAAAAATATAAAATATTTAATTTTCAGGATTTTTCAACTAAATGTTTCGTAGCGTGTATGAGTGTATAAGTTTTCATATAATCTTTGTTCGTAGTTGTTCGTTAAGATGAATAGAAATGTGATTTCGTCTCGTTTATGTGTGAGAAAAAAGAGGCAAGGGAGAAAGTAAAGAGGAAAGTGTAAGTTTCATGTAGCTTGGTGAGGAAGACAAGTGAATAAGTCGCGCCGTCATGAACTGTTGGAGTATGTTGCCTTCCTTTCTCCTAGAAATTCCACTCGAACAGCCTCTTCCCGCGAACCACTGCCCTGTGGAATCGACTCCCAAGAGGATGTTTCCCCGATCACTACAATCTTAACCTGTTCAAGTCTAGGGCCAAACGTTATCTTCCATTTCCATCCATATAAACTGTCTCCTAACGTAAACATCTACATTGAGTGGCCCCGGGGCCTTGTAATGGTGATCCTAACTGTAAAAACAAACAAACTGATATGTCCCGGAAAGGGATATATTTGTTTGAAGTAGCAAAGTGGTTTTGGACTACCGTAAGCGGGTAGAACAAGAGCAGGTAACCGTAATGGACTGGTCCTCGTCGTAGTGGTAGACAATAGGCGTAGGCCAATAGGCGAAGACAATAGGCGTAGCCAATAGGCTTCCTCATGTACCTCCACATCAGTCTGTATTTATGGCTGACACCAGCCAATCATATTACTGTGAGGGGGAACCCAGGTGTATGCATATTCATTACATCACAAACGAACAAACAAACAAACAAAGAAAAACATGCACTTATCAACTTTGCTATAAGTCTCTGAAAAGAAAAGAATATGAGAAAGTCAGGGAAGGATAACTCCTTAAGTTCAAACCATGAAAGAATTTGCACTCATGCAATTGGCATAGAATATCATCAATGTTCTCACTTGCTGATCCACCCACTCACACACTTTTTCTTTTTTTCTTTCTTTCTTTCTTTCTTCCTTTCTTTCCATGATAAAGTGGAAAAGTTTTCTTGTGACGTGTTTAGGATAAATAACAGATAGCGAACCATTATAGGGCTAACATGTTTCGCTCTTATTAAAGCTTTATCAGAGAATGAAGTATGGGATTTTGCATTTTTATTTAAATCCTTCGATGGAATCCTGATAATTATTTTATAAAACTCTAAACACACGTCAAAAACACTATATCACCTCACCAACTTTTACGAAATCCATTCTTAAGGAATCTAACGTATATATAACTACCACTACCATGACCGGAGTTGACATAAAAACTTCCCCAAATCAACATGCGGACAACCTCCAAGAATAAATAATCCCTACTAGACACACACACACGCACATATACACGCGCGCTGTGGCACCATGCATCCTGACGGTTTCAAAGAAATATTCATAGATATATGACTTGTTTTTTACGGTTTATCAACCATTTAATAATTATTTAAGGCCGAAAAGTATTTCGGGTTTTAAGAATAATTCTTTCTTTACGTTCAAGCGATCTGGAAGAAGGAAAGAGAAAGCGAAGAAGAAAGAAAGAAACAATAATACGAAAACAGGTCATAGGCGAGCACACACACGCTCGGCTGACAGATAACAGGTGTCGAAAAATATCCAGGTCAAGCATCTAACCGAGATCTGGGGAAAATGGAAGTTGTTATCAATTGGTTGAAGAAACGAAGTTTAGGGACAATGAAAAATATTGATAAGTAACAAGTGGAAAGTGTGTCATTTGGAAGATAGTAAAAGTCTAAGTGGGTGGGGAAGTGTATCTAAGGATATGAAGGTAAACCATTAATAAGAAAACCCAGACAATCTCCAGAATTGGAAAAAGCCAAACAAGATGATGTCGCTGAAAATTTTTTTTTGAGATAATAAAGATTTTTATTATCGGACCTTCGGCCGGAGGAAAATGAAATATTTTTATTTCGTTCAAAAAAACGCCAACAGGTCTGAGAAATCCCTTTCTTAGGTCATATCCAATTAGCGATAAACTGCTTGACAAATACCACGTGTTAAAAAGCCGAAGGTGTCATCGCGGTCGCTCATGGTGGGTGCGATTTAGATTAATATTTTTGTTTTTTAAGCAAGGTGTTCCTTTCCCCAAATCAAAGCCACGGATTGTCCACACCCGACTAAAGACGTCATTGGCTAAATAAGATCACATGACACACGAAGGAGGAGGAAAGATACCCGACCAGGACCTCATTGGCCGAGAGCGGTCACGTGACGCACGAGGAGAATCGGTCGACGCCCCTGTCAGAGATGTAAGTGTGAGAAGCCGATACGAAGAAGCGGGGAAGCAGGCACACGCCCCCTCAGAGGCACAGTAAGGGAGTGGGAGTGAGAGTGAGTTACCGAAAATGGAAAGGAATGAAAAAATCCCTAACCAGAAGGGTGGATACGTATTTAGAATTATCGAAAAACCCCTGGCGCCGACAGACCCACCCCAGTTTTGACTGCGTCAATAAAAGCGGTACCCCAACCGACAGAAGTCAGTTTGAGTTAGAGTTTGAGCAGCGGACGGCGAAAGAGTTCAGCCGTGGACGACAAGCAGAGATAAGCGCCCAGTGTTGAAACCGCGTCAAGATAGCTGACCAAGATTCACGCACACTTCTGGACTCTTCAACCAAGAACAAGTAGTTTGAAGAGCGACTTAGAATCAGACCACAGAAATAGTTTTTTTTCGACTTTCGTCCAAAGACACACCGAAACACAAATTTCTTAGAGAGCAGATAACTTGAAGCCTTAAAGTTGCCTAGTAAAAGCGTCGTGCCACAATCCACAGAACGGGTCGGGGAAGTAGACATAGTCCTATGTACCGAGCAAATAGACATAAAAAGTTTGTTACCTTTTTCTTTGATACGTTGGACCTTGTGAGTTTTTATTTTATTTTTTTTATACGTAATTGTGTGTTATCACCCCCGTTAGACTCAACTTGCATTACGGCCCCAACCCCTGTTTGATCTCGTCTGTCTAAGATCAATTCACAACGTGGGTAGGCAGACTGGAGATCAGTGCAGTTACCCTGGTAACCAGCGTTGGAAGCGGGTTGGAAACGACGAGGCTGGTATCAATCTAACCAAAGGGTTAGAACGTCACGTTTGGAGCAGCGAGGAGCGAACAGCTGACGCCGCGGCAAAGACGTCACAGTTGGTGCTGTCCGTGACCAGGATATCAGAGCCTGGGGAGCACGTGACGTCACAGCGCGCAAGCACACACACACACACACACACACACACACACACACACACACACACACACACACACACAAAATACCATCAAAATCACGCATAGTCAAATGCATTTTATGCAGGCACGTCCACTTTTTCGCGAAAATACATGGTGAAAAAAGGCCACAAACACAATGAAACAAAGTTTTCTCATCAAAATGTTTACGTTATTATTAACAGGAAAGATCAAAGTATTTTTAAATTATTTTTTGAAATTTTTTAATCCTTTCTAGCATGTTCGAAATTTTGGTTAAAAAACTTGTCTTGTTTACGTCAGCGTCTGACGTAATGATAAAGGTTAGTTTTTCTTTTGGGATTTTTCCAGTGAAACACGAATTAATTTGGAAATTCCTGCAAAACTCAAATAATTGTCAGATATTAATGAAACTTCCAGTACATATTCAGAAATGAAATAAATTATTTTAAATTTGTTTTTTAAGAAAATCTTGCTACAATTTTTTTTACATATGTTACCACCCACTTAATTTAATGAAATTTTGAAAAATTCAATTTTTAGGGTGGGGATTTTTATTAGTTAAAAGCGGGATTCTTTGGAGAAAGTAAATCATCAGCTCTTTTTTTTCTTAAACAGTTTCCCCTTTCACCGAAAATCTGCTCTAAATTGTAAAATAAAAAATGTAATAAAACTATGACACCAATTTATTAGAAAAGCTTTTAATTGGGTTATAATATTTATTTCAGATCAGATGAATTTAATTTTAAATTTTCTAATTTTACTCAAATAACGTGTCAGAAATATATTTTATTTTTGGAAGATTTTTAAAACTGATAATTGTGTTTTGTTTACAAATCACTTAAAATTAAGAAAATGGCCTCTTTAAGAAAATTTTTAAAAAATCGAACAAATATTTAGCATTCCAATCCATATTATTTCTATCTGAAATACCCTAGAATATTTTACTTTACTAATAATAAATTTAATCATTTAGCTTTCAATTAAAGGTAAAAATAAATTCTCAAGAATACATTTTCATTTTTAAAAATTGATTTTAAATCTTAGGTATCGAAATTATATGAGACACTTTCACACATAAATTATATTCAGGAACGCTGCTGGACAAATCAAATGTATGTAAATTCTGCTTAACCAATGAAAATCAAATAGCACAAAAATAAAAATAACAGAAATATTTTTTCTATATCTCATTCTCTGATGTAGCTTTAATAAAAGCGAGCATATTAGATATATAAACGTTTGCTATATATTTATTAACCTACCATTCTGTCGGATTCCGATTCATGTTTCATCTGTATTTCATCCCAATTCAAATATATATATATATATATATATATATATATATGGCAAACTGAGAAGTTTCTTGAGACGCATTTCATCCGTTGGATTTTTATATATATATATATATATATATATATATATATATATATGTGTGTGTGTATGTGTGTGTGTGTTTGTGTGTGTTTGCGTGTATATATATAGGAAGACAGAAGTAAGAGAAGAAGGTAGAATGGAAGAAATAATGAAATTAATGAACAGTCAAAATTGGATGGTTAGAAATATATGCAAAAGGTAGATGTACGCATAATGTATGAAAAAAGAAGGGATGAAAGAGAGAAAGAAAGAAAAAAGACAAATAGGAAGAGCGAGCGGGAGGGGGGTGAGAGAAGTAAACAAAATCGGTACAAGCAAAACATTTAATCCTTTCCTATTTTCCATGGCTGTTGAATGAAGACACATTCAGTTGAATGCGCACAGCCTTTTTCTGTAATCCAACCTCTTTTCTATGTGTTCATATGTCAGAAAACGTGTCGAGATTTAAATATACTCGTAATGCGCTGATGATTCACCTTCGTGTGTGTTGTGCGCCTGCTTAATTTTATCGTAGGCGTCTGCTAGTGACGAAATGCTGCCAAGTACGTTGGGTTCAACGCAGCCAGTAAAGAGGCCTTGAGCTGAGCATTCTTTATTCTCTTCTTTCTTTTTGTTTCCAACTCAATTCGTGATTGTCCTCCGAACTTCTGACTTAAAGCCTCTGATCCATGAACCGAACGAAAAGCAAATGGAAACATGAAAAGGCGCGGAAAAAAGTAAAATGGAAGGGAAAGTAAGGTGCAGTAAAAACGAATATTCTTGACAAAAGGAAAAGTAAGAAAATGTTTGCTGTGAATTAAGACGTAATACGGCCCTTTTTTCTGTAGTAGTAGCAATAAGCGATTGCAACTTCTGTGAGTTGCTTTTTAATATATGTCTATTATGTTATTCTAAACCGAAGAACTCTTATTACGTTAATATGCCTATTCGGCTAAAGATGAACATGTGTCATTTTACTTAAAATGATTCACCAAAAATGAGAGAGAGCTACCTAATAACGTGAAGCTACTTCTTTGGCTTGAATAACATAGGTAACGCGATATGTTATTGATATGTTACTAAATCTGCAAAATGCCTGAGTGCTTACTTTAGTGCATCTTTCCAAACACAATTCAAAACTGTCCGGAAATGAATTTTGTTTGTTGAGTACGACTGCAGTGAATGAAACCATTACAGAGACATTGTTAGTTTGCTTAACAATCTTTTGATATCTTCATGCGGTCTCTTCCCCATACACACACACGACCGTTCTACTGAAAATAGTGCAACGTGACTCGTCTGACCAACTTAAACGGCACCATTTTTGATGGTGAATGTCTTTGTTGAAATATCCATATAACCTGTCTGATGTTGGCTCATGTGAGCCGAAAGCTTAGATTGAGGAAGAGCATGAAAAAAAAATTCCAAATGTTGGGCAGATATTTTATTTATTTTCTCCTGAAATTAAAGTAAATATATGAAGCTTAGAACGCCTCATAATCAAACATAATAGACATTCGTTGTCTGTTATATTTAACAATATCTATCTATCTATCTATCTATCTATCTATATATATATATATATATATATATAACAGTGAACATTAAATTCAAATCTCAGAGGCGACATGCTGTTTCATGCTAGACGCAATCGTCAGGCCACGACGTCTGAAACAGCCTGTCGCCTATGAATGTTGACTTCAATGTTCACTTTTATATTTACATACGCTCTATCTCTGATATTGAACACTTTATACCATAAATATAGCACAAATTAAAGGTATATATGTATATATGGTGCAAGTTTCGTTTTTCTACCAACTCATCAGCTACGAATCATTAGTTTTAAATTAGTAATTAGTGTCTGATGAGTTGGTAGAACAACGAAACTTTAAGTTGCACTTCGAACGTAGGTGTATGTATATTTATTAATATTTACTTTTAGCTTAGTCTAACCACATTGAGTACTGTTTTGTTTACATCTTAAATTGAGTAAATATTTATTAGATTACCTGTGTGTGCGCGATAACTCACGTATATACGGTTGCTAATATCTATTTATTTGATTTATCCACGTCAATACCTATATAAATGTCATTAATTTATATATGTACTTTTAGGGGGTAATGCGATGGTTATATCATTTAGATTGTAAAATAACCACAACAGACACTTAAGTTCGGGAAAATAATTAACCGAAAACATTTGCCCTAAACAATGGCAAGTTGTTTTCTTTCTCCTGCTTCCTAGAGGTTGCCGGTAGCCCGTATGTATGGAGCCTGCGCATATAGAGCGATATTCATCACACGTGGAATTCACTAACAGTCAATATGTTGAGCGTATTTCTGTGTCCACAGTCTATATCTACATATGCTCTGGGCACTTTGATTCTTTGTAATGGTTAGAAATCTTGCCTCACTAAATGACTTACGATTTATTAATCAGTTCGATCTTTACTTGATGCTCCATATATGCGGCCTTGTGCCACATCTAAGCTACGCTTAGAAAATCACTATATTTTGGGCACTTCGACGTGTAATGGTTAGCAAGCTTGTCTCGCTAGATCAATTATGACTGAGCTCGATCCCTTTGGGGCAACCCAAAAGATTCTTAGTAAATTATTATATCTACAAATGATCTATCCAGAACGCTCTTCCTCCATAAATATCGAAAATTTACGCAATATATATATATATATATATATATATATAATGCAAATTAATTGAAGCAAAGCGAATAATTCCGTTATTATATACTTTTTTCGTATTTTCCAATGAAGCATAACCCACTGCATATATTAGTACTTCGTATGTGCATTCTACAAAGTCGTTCCTTGTAGATTGATCACAGATTCTCGATTGGATTTAAAGCAGGAGAGTTTCCAGTCCAGTCTATAGTACTTTCATTTGCTTACTGGTAAGGTTTTTCTATGTGTTCGTATGTGCATTCCACAAAGTCGTTCCTTGCAGACTGACCACAGATTCTCGATTGGATTTAAATCATAAGAGTTTCCAAGCCACCCTATAGTCCTTTGATTTGCTCACTGATAAGACTTGCGATTGTGTTTGTGCAGCGTTACAATTTTCGTACACTTCCTTGGAGTAACATACGTCGTAGGGAATGGCCATAGGACAACTAATCGACAGTCGAGACAGTATTTTATGGGCGTGAGGAAAAAACTGATGCAATCACGGATGACGTAATATTTTTCAAGGCCAAACAAATTTCATCATACACCCCGAAAATAGATTCATATTACTGCACACCACTGCAAATGACCTAAACTAAGGAGAAAATAGAAATCGATTACACCCTTTCACTCCAGTGGGTCTCAAATTGACCGTATAGTGAAAGAAAGGGAACTAAAACGGTTGCTTCAATGAATATACACAAGAGTGTATATAGTTATCTCTGAGAGTGTGGGTTGCTTGAGTCTCTTTATTTACGAAGTGCTTCCAAATGTTACGCAAATTTGAACAAATTTCTAATCTGTCTTGTCTTTCAATACTTCTCAAGTTTTACTGGATATTTCACACAAATCTGGAAATCACTCTATCAAAAAATAAAGGAATTCCTTTTCTATGAATGTTTTTTTGTCTTTTCTGGTGTCATTTCTTGAAGCGTGCAGCCAGCGCATGCAAATCGTGCTTAACCTGATCAGTTACGAGCAGCCATTCATTAGTTAAAACAGAAAAAAAGAAATTTTTGCTAGTTATTCATTAGTCGTCGATAATGATATCTTGCAATTAAGAAAACCAGTGAATGGACAAAAACAATAAATAAGAGCTTAATTACATGATACAATTAACCAGCATCGAACGTTACTGCACGTAATAAATACATATGAGTGTGTACTGAAAAATTCTCGGCACGACCAAGAAAAACTTCCAACAAAAATCCTCGACATTTGTCGCTTAAATTCCAATGGAAGTTCTTTGTTCAGTATATATATATATATATATATATATATATATATATATATATATATATATGTGTGTGTGTGTGTGTGGTGTGTGTGTGTGTGTGTGTATTTGCTCTCATTCGACGATTGATCACTATGGGGAATGGGAATTTTTAACGGCTGCTGCTCCTGCTCAATGCATAGCTCTTCGTCAGAACTGGGCGCTCTTGCTGCTGGAACTGGGTTTATATACATCAGATTCCTGTTTTCAACAGTTCGCCGATAGCTTAGTGGCAGCGTCTCTGACTGATGACAAATCGTTCGAGTTTCGATCCAGACTTGAAGCAATCGGATGTGTAGCCACGCTGATGAAATAGTTTCTCTGTGGATATATTTTTTCGGACCATTTTTTTTTTTTTAAAATTAAAAAAAAAATTGCCCCATGTCTAAGTATTTTCACCTTTCATATCTGATTTACAAAGAGTGTTTTTTGGTTTTATCAGTTTCATTCTTTTTAATATCGTGCCTTACCCGTTATGTTTTTTAAAACTAAATTTGTTTCGTTTTGATGTTTATTTTATTTATGAAATTTATTATATATATATATATATATATATATATATATATATATATATATATATATATATATATATATATATATATATATATATATATATATATATATATATATATATATATATGTATATATATATATATGTATGTATATATATATATATATCACCTTTTGACAAAAACAAACAAAACATATATCTTTCACTTATAAGAAAAACGTAAAGGCCTACAGCAAAACTTATGTCGTTAATAAATAGCTTTCAAAATTGCAGTTTCACTGGTACTACTCATAATAATCAGACAACACATACATTACCGCGCCGATTAACTTTCAATTTATCTGATAATAGTTAAATTGCATATCACAACCAAAATAAAAAGAAAACACTGAAACATCCTTACCAATAAGAAAAACAATACGATATCACATGACTCTGAAACCGAGTGCAATGAAAAAGAGCTGCTCAGACACACAAACTCACACACACACACACACACACACACACACACACACACACACACACACACACATATATATATATATATATATGCTAAAGTTCAAAGTTTGAGGTCTCCACTGGAAATTTTTAAAATTAACCACAAACGTAGTTGTTTTGTACTTTAGATGAGAGCAAATTATTATACATGGTTAAAAATTGTGATGTGATTTTTTTATTAGACATTTTATTACGACAAAAAGAAAAAAGAATTTTATGATTAAATTTTGCTCTCGTCAAAATATCCACCTTTATCCGTGATTACTCTAGCAGAAATTTTAAGAGTTCTTCATTTTTTCACTCCTCTATCAAGTTCATCCCATGCTAATATTCGAGGTAGCTTCAAACTTTTATATATATATATATATATATATATATATATATATATATATATATATATATAGAGAGAGAGAGAG